TACGCCTTGCTCGTATTCGCTTCGCAATCTGCGATCCGGTTAGACGGAAATGCAAAAACGAACGGGGAGAAACGGCGGTCACCTCGGTATTTAAGTTTCACGGGATTCGCCTCCGAGAAGCAGTGGGAAAAATTGGCCGGTCCGAAGTGGCGCGATAAGAAAAACCGCGGTCGTATATAAATGTCGCACATAAACGTCGGTGTGAATGTCGTCGTAAATTTCCTCTTCGACTCATAATCTCGAATAAAATTTACTGCCGGCGATGAGAGCGAGCGCCGTTTACGGCAGTGAGTAATTCGCCGGTCGGCGATGAGTCAGGGCAAATGACTTAATTGTACGGACTTTTACCGCTGCAAGTGTCTACGTGTTGCGGGAAAATCCGCGACGACAGGAAATCCAGCGCACATGCGATACCGATCCTCCGATGTAATACAGCAGTCGATAAAATGCCGGATATCGCGAAAACGACGAAAATATTGATATTGCAGACGTAATAACCGTAGCTATTGGTTCCGCGGGCTGAAGACGCAAAAATCTCCCTACATATCGCTACTTTTATATTTCCGCAATACTTTTTCACCGATCTATCGGTACAAACAGCGGCGTTGCGACGCAGACTTGTTTGAAATATTTCGTTTCTGGCAACTCGTCTCTGCAAATTCTTCCACGTCAATCACGATTACGAGTATGACGGCGTTTTAACCGTGTGATATTATCAAACGTGGACTCGCATTCGCCAAGTGAGTCTATCCACACTGCACATTTTTCTCAATATATATTTCAATTGCTTGCGAGATCGCGACAAAGAGACCACGCAAAGAATATCGCGATCGGTTTTAATCAAACAAGCAGTCTCCTAAATCATGAAAGCGGGGGAGCAGCAGAGGTGCCGAGGGTAAAGGAGCTGAATCTACCGGGGGAGGATTCTAGTCCTCCGGCGCGCAGTAGGTAGGTATTTGCTTTAAGCGGAGTTCGAACCGACGGTAAACTTGTTAGATGTGACCCGGGCGCTCTTGCGGACCGCTCTTAATCCCGCAAGATATCGTCCGGTATCCGCGGATTAAAATCCGCACTTTAGTATCCTCCTCCCCTCCCCTCACTCACCCGCGGCGCCAGATAACACCGCTGGTTGTCGCCGGATTCGAGGGGAGAAACGAGGACGGGGCGGACGCCCGATGCATCGCATCGGCGGGGGAGAAGTTCAGATATAGTCCGGGCAGTTAAAGTCAACGCCAGGGGCGCGCCCGAAACCTTACCTTACCTCCTTACGACTATCGCCCTTATTCCGCTCAGCCACCGACCTCTCGCTCGTCCCTAAGTACTCATGCAAACGAGCGGCTGAGCTTACGAATTAAGTGGGCACCGTCGCACCGCGTCGTTATAACGCGCCGTCTGCTCTCTGAAAAATGCTCGCCGTCGAATTAAGCGTACAGCGTACTCCCGGCAAACGGGCTATTTGTTCCTCTCCTCTTCTCTTCTCTTCCTTTTTTTTCTCTCTCTCTCTCTCTCTCTCTCTCTTTGTTTTCTTCCAGGAGTTTTCTTAAGCGGAGAGATTGCGCGATTAGTATAATTAGCAGCGACGAGACGTGGAACTTGCGCTCGCTCGCGTAGAGATGCGTATATCACACGCGTAAACAAAATATATAAACAGATATTTGGAAAAAATACAGCCAACATTGCGCTGTTATATGGGATTTTTATAATGAAATGTTCGAAAATATTTTTCATGTGTTTTCTATAAATTCGGCAGCAATTTTGAACGTGAGACACTTTTGAACAACAATATTTTTTATATTTATATTTTGCGTGAGTGAAAAACTACTGTTTTTCGAACAGGAGTTACGCTATGGATGAGAATTGTAGATATTCGACAGTCAATAAAACTTTTTGTCCAAAAGAAGAAGGTTTTTTATTTGAAACTAATTCGGAAAAAAATTGTTATTTGAAACTGCCTCACTCAACCTCTAGCGATATCTCACTTTACAGATTATCGCTACCTGGCTATCGAATATACTGACGTTTGGATAGATTTCGTTAATTGATTAACTTTTACCGTGTGAAAACGTTGAAAAAGCTATTGATACGTCAATGCGTGATTTTATGCTTTTATATCGGCGCGATTCTTTTCATCGAAATTAAACGCGCACTAAAATTGTCTAGTACGCGTAAATAGAAAAACCATTTGTAGCGAATAGGAAATCATAAAAATCGCTTTTCCTAAATCTGTTATATTCCCGTGAACGTCGCAATTCAGGTGAAATCTAGTAAACATAATGGAATTAATTTCGCGTGCCGGCAATATGGTGTTCGCGCCAGACGGCGGCGCGCAAGAAAAAGGAACGGAACGGGGCGAGAACGATGGGAATCGGGAGCAACGAGACGGTTAAAACGCAATCAGGATTGGCGGGCATCGTGAATAACAATGATACGGAACTAATCTAAGCAAGAGAGGCTGTTTTCCCGCCGCGATTGGGACGATGTGCGGCGTGTTTTCCGGCTGGAGATCAGGTTGCAATTCTAAGTGTCGCATCGATGTTGCATCGGACCTGATTAAATTGCGTTTCCGGCGCCCGCACACTACCGTGAATAACAATGAAACGATGGCATTCGGATGGCACATTTTTTCCCGCACCCGCGAGGCTCGAGAAATTGTGCTCGTCCATTTTCCCGGCGATTTTCGTCTGGTTACGCGTGCTGCAGTGTGCGAGCCGAAAAAATGTTTCCGTACGCCAAAATAATTTTATTCCGCGTGATATTAAAAATAATATTGATAAAGGAACAACCATATGTTATTATTCAATTCAAAATACATTCCAGATCTGTTAGGTTATATTAAATCAAATTGAGATTGACTTTTGGAATTGGGATATTTACGTGATTCATAATAAAACAAACCTTTTTTTATTCGTGTTTTTTTTTTTGTTTTTTTTTGTTTTTTTTTGGGTGGGGATTCCTGACAGAATTTGTAATTCCGATAGAATTTTTCGAACGTTTCTTGGGACACATGCGCCGCGATGGCACTGGAAGGATTAATGGGAAAAATCGTATAACAGTTTTCATAAACAAAATAAAACCCATTTTTCACAATTTTGTAAATTTGAACTTTTCGTGGCCGTTATTTTGCCAATTCTGCTTCTACATGAATTTCCGCGGCTCACGCTAAAACTGCAGAAGATAGACGATGTTCCTGCAACGGTCTTTTTTTTATGCTGCTGGTTCAGCTAGTAAAATAGCCGGTCTTTACGGTAGTAAAAGGAAAACTCAGCTTCAACGGCTCATAATTCCGACATTTTTCAGTATTTCCTCACGTTTCTCGTTTTTAAATGTATAATTTAACTGCAAACTGGTTTAAAGAATTACAGGAGCTTTGTTTAAACAGAGATTCGAGAAAATTATATTATCCGGAAAAAACTACCTATATTCTATATATATATATATATATATATATATATATATATAATTAAATTGTTATATTTTATTGTTACATATTGTTGGTAAGATTAAAATAATCTCGCTAATTTCGATTTTTCACAATGCGTTAGAGACGCGCATTGTTCTCACATGCATAATGCACGGAAAGTCGGTTACAACTCGCGTAACATAATCTATGAAAACTCATTTCGGAGAGAGGTGAATACACATTTTCAATAAGTATAAAACGAGAGATGAGATTGCGCGAAGCTCGACACTATTTCCCGTAAGAGGAATTACCTCCGTCCGTATCCGGCGCAAGCCGCGAGCTACCCTCGTTACATGGCTCTCTTGATCACGTCGTCAGTCTGTGTTCCATAACTCCGGCCAGGTAGTACAAATATTGGCGTGATAGTCAGCAGCAGCCGCCTGCAAATATAGAACCAATATCTCGATGAGATATCGATATTTCCGAGCATCGGATCAGCACTTTTGCTTCCAACGCTAGCTTATCCAAAGCTATTTAGGGTAAAGCTTTAGGGCGGTTTAATGCACACATCGCGCGCAGCCATTAATGTTTTAGTTATTATCAGAATGCGCAGTGCTATAAATATCGTCATTTAAAGGGATTAGAAGGATTAACGATATAAATATAATATTCGGTCGCATTTACGTTTCTAGGTTTTTCTCGTATCGATTACCAATATCTGTTACTTCGTGAGCTAACGTGAATAAAACGCGGATAAACACCATTAATAATCTCTTCCTTTATTTATACAAACGGGAACAAAGCGTATTGTTTAAGCACTTTAAAAGGATAATAGACGGAAAGTTGAAAAAGTTATGCGTGGGAAAGACGTGTGGGTGAGTTGTGTAACCATATTTACTTTCGCGCGCACTTCATTTTGATCGGGAGAGAGAAAGAGAGAAGGGGAGAGAAAAAGAGAAAGAGAGAGAGAGAGCGCCCGCTCTCTGCGGGTCCGCCGTGTAATCTCGTTTTTAATTTTTCAATCACTTTGATCGTTCCCGTCGTACAGTCCGGTCGTTATATAACCCGTATTTATTGGCTCTCCTTCCATCGGTGTAGCGCAACGTATAACTTCCAGTTATCGAGCGCGTACGCTTGCGGCCCCGGGACCGAAGTCTCCTAGTTTTTGTTTGGCATACCACACCGAAAGCTCTGGGGGTATCGGCTAATTTAAAAGTTCCCGGCAACTCGTCTGCCGCTTAGTAGCCCCGGCAAAGCTCGTTGCACCGTGTACAGGATCCTCCGTGTCCATCGTTTCCCGGCGGGCGCTTTCCCGCGTGTACCGCTGCGTCATCCCTCGTTCATTTCTTGGCTCTAAATGATAGCTACGAGGATACGTATTAGGTGCGAAAAACTCTTGCAGAAGAAGCAATTAATTACAGGAGATAAAATAGTTTAGAGAAACGTTCTCGCGACTATAAAATTATAAGAGATTTTAAAATGAAACAATGAAACCACCAATAAAGTTGTCAAATTTGAAATTAAACTCAAGTTTGAATTAATTTAAATTTTATATAATAGAAATTTTTTAATAAAAACTAATGTTTCGTTTTTGTTGCAGGCAAGCCGCAGCCCATGGTTACATGGCTCATAAATGGCCGAGTGAAAGATGAGGAGTACGAAAATAATGCTGGCGATGTAATCGAAAACAGGTGAGATATTTTCCGCTATAATATTTACAGAGATATTTGCATACATAACTTGAACACCGGGAATTATTGTTCTTATGTAAATCTTCTACGTGATTAATTTTGTATATATTTACTCAATTTTTTTTTACAGATTAACGCTCCAGCCAATCAGCCGGTCTGATCTTGGCTCGAATTACACGTGTCAAGCGCGCAACACGGGTCTGGTGGGTCCGAAGGAGAGCTCGATTTCCCTAGATCTCAATTGTAAGTAAATCCAAATCCCTTCGTCGATTTTAAGAAGAATTTTTTGCACGGAGAAAGAAAAAGTATTTATATACTTTTGTATAAATTTTGGCCTCCGTCGTGACAGTAAAAAACCCCAACATACTTTTATTAAAACAACGAGAGACTAATGAAAGCAAAGAAGGAAAATATAAATTCTTATCACGTGGCCAACAAATCAGAAGCCTCGCCCTCGAGCCTATCTTGTCTCGCATTAACGATAAAATCTACGAGACACCAAAAGTGGGCCAACATCCTTTGCTCCCTCGCCGCTAGGTGAGTCGCCTTTAAGGGAAGATAAGGCGAGATAAGACGAGAAATATATTAAATCTACCCTCGGGCCGCGCCCGCTCTCCGCGCGCTCGCTCGTCCCCTCTCGAGGAGGAGCGTGAAGAAGCATACAACCCTCGGCTTCGCGAAATTAGAATTCTTCGTTAATTCGCTCGGGGTAAAAGTCAGTTGTGTAGAATGAGGGGCGAGGTGGCGTAGTTCTAATTTTCGTACTAAACCGAAAAATCGCCGAGCGAAATCTTATCTTGTCGGGCTATCCAACGGTCGCTAGACACGATCCGGAGACACGACGGGATTCGTATCGCGCGTGCCGATTCGCTGCCGCCGTTTCCACGCGACCCTTTTCCTCGATCGCTATCGCCGACAATTCGATCGCCGGCCCTTGATTCGATTACATCGTTATCCATCACCGACGTCCTCGTAAGGATTCCATCAGTCTTACCCTTTTTTTTATCCTACACATGCGTGTGTATTATGGAAGCAGGAATTTCGCTTTTGCACGGCGTATGTCGAGGACCGTGGGATAGAACGGTGATCGATATGTGTCCAATAATCAAGTCTTCCAAAAATCACGGATTTTCGTCGGAGCTACTAACGAAATTGAAGGCCGGTTATCGATGAGCGAGGGAAAGCCCCATCATAGTGGCGAATAAAAAAATTGCAGATTGAAGCGGTCATAGAGAGGGAGAGAGAGGAGAGAGGGAGAGAGAGAGCCGTGATGAGGGAAAACGGGAACCAGCAGAGGTCTCTCTGACCTAACGATGAACGCTGACGCTCTTTGATTTTCGTTACTTCGGCAAAGTGCACTCAATGCGTATTTATACCATCGTTTTATTTTTGCGAAATAAAAACAGAGTTCCGAACAAACAGGACATCCTCCTGCTTTCGACGCTTCGGAGCGGTGCATCAATCGCAAGATTGCTGCATCGACAAGCGCATCATCGGTTATCAGGATGTCTTATTAACTTGGAAGGTTGATCAAACTTAGCGAACATTCTCGGGGCAGATTATTGGTTCAACATTACTGTACTTGTTATGTTACGCAGTGTCATGTTACATATTATATGTCGTAACTTGTATAAACCATTTCGATAATTTGTAAAATAAATGCACGCAGTTACATAATGTTAAAAAAAAAATAGAAAATATAAAATAAATACATAGTTACATTAATGCATATTAAAAAAAAAAAAGTGCGAATGGATACAAGTTTCACATTTATATAATTGGATAACTGACTCTAATAGAAGCGCTCTCACATTTTACGTCGAATATTTGTATTGAAGCAAGAAGTAAAGCACAAGGCCGTTCCATTAGAACAAATTGTTTAATTACATAAATGGAGCGATAAATATTTGACGTCTACATCAACATAAACAATTCACTAGTGATAAGGATGGTAATATAAAGATAATAAATAACAAATAGGAGCGCATTCAATTGCAAAACAGCATATGGAAACCTCTATTCATATTTCACAGACGAGCGAATCGTATCTAGTCGACACCAGCCGATTGGAAACTTGAATTTATTGGCCGTCAGAACGATTGTCACCTCGCGAGTAAAATTTAGGACAATGCAATTTTCAGCACAAGCGGAACTTTTGACAAAGAACGAGTTATTAATAACAGATTGAAAGTAATAATTGTAAAAAGTAGCAGTACGCGAATACGAGAGGACGACGATGCCATAAAATATTCAAAAATATTTATGCGACTAAATATTCATACTTTGCGCAAAAATGTTTGGCGAGTTCGTTGGCCGCACGTCCGCCTGGACAACGTCGAAAATATTTGTTTAACTTACGCAATTGTTTCCGAGTTCCGCACGACTATATCGACGTGAATACCGAAGTCTCGCCCAAAACTCGAGGGCGGCTGTAGATCAACAATTTATCATTTCATAACGTGAGAGATCCATTTCAGCGATTTTACATCGCCACACGTATTGGTTTCAATCCATTCTTTTTAATTCCTTAAGGCAAGGCAAAGATAATTTTAGTGCAAACTTTGTATTATTTTTAGAAATTTAGTTTTTGGAAACGTACGTAAATTTTTACATGTTATTTTAAATTTATTTGAATATAAAAATTATAAACGTGTTTATTGTAAATGTAAATTTTGAGAAAAAACAATTAAAAATTTATTAAAAAATGCTTGACATATTGTTCAAGGGAGCTAAATGGAAAAGTTATATGCGATATGCACATTAATACCTTAAAATATGATTGAAATATCAAATTAATTTATGAAAAGTTAATTAATTAGAAAGTTAATCTTTGCCATCAACTGTCAATTTTAGAATTTTTCTATTTTTCTTTCAACGCCTCTATGTCAATTTTAATATACAAAATATTCTCTCTCCTTTTTCTTTCTTTTATAATATTCTTTTATAATATTCTTTTATATTTTGATCAGATTTTATTAATTAATAAAAAAGGTAATCAAATTTGGCCGAATATTTTAAATACATCTTACGGTTGCTTTTAATATAATTAGACAATATTATGCTACTTTGCAGTGAAACCTCTAACTGTGATTATAAGAAGACCGGGCAGGAAAGGAAAGAACAGCGAGTCCCTCTTGGCAGGGAAGCGATACGACATGGAGTGCGAGACCACTGGTTCAAGGCCACCCGCGGTGATAACTTGGTACAAGGGCCGCAGAAGACTGAAGCACACGAAGGTGAGTAAGAGAAATAAGAAGTAACAGCAGGTTGTGTGCGCGGATTTCCTCAGCGTCGAAGTGGCTGCGCCTTATCCCTCTTTCGTAGCTTACCATGGGATCCCGTATCCCTTTTGTCCCCGGTACACAAAAGCCGCTTTCACCACGCTTTCTTCGCGACGGCTTGTCGCTTTCATTTTTGCCGGTGCTTTCGCGAAACACTAAAGGTACAAGCCGAATAATCTCGCGCACGGATAATCCCAAAAGCGCGAACCTCCCCTCGACTACGTGCTTCGATTAATCATGATCTGTTTGCTAATACGCTGTTTTAACGCGATTCGATTTGTACGTGATTCCCATGGCGCGGCAGAGACGCGTAATTAAGCGGCTAAGCTACTTATTATCCTCCAGTCGGGCTCCTCGTCGTTAATTAATCGTCGTTGCCGACTAGGAGTTTTAAAAAAGACCGGGAGCAAAAGATAACGCGATAATGCGTTCTCTGGCTCAATTTCGGTTGTTCCCAACTTTCATTTATAAAGCTTAGGGACTTCGCCCAGCTGTATTTTCTCGTGAATTCAAACAGCGTTACTACAGAGTTCTTGCGTTAAAAAGCTCTTTATTTTTCAAATGAAAGATTGGAAATCGCACAAATTAAATTTTAATTAGTTAGATTTATATTATTTTTTTATTTAAGGGGGTATTCTAGAGTGTGAACACACGTTTTCAAAGCGATTTTTGGGAATTAATTTTATAAAAATGGTTAAACCTACAGAGCTCAAGTTTTGTATTCACATTTATTCATATTTCTAGTAACATCTCAAATTTTTTCAAAGCCTTTTATTAAAAATTTTATAAGATATAGGTGGACGCACAGGTCATGTCGCAAAAACCCTTTCTTATCGGGCGTGACCATTGCCGCCGTCCTCGTCATCCGAAATAAACAAATTTTTTTTTAATTTTATTCCTTACGAATGTGGTTATCGTTCGTCCTTCGAATAAATAATTTGAATAAAAATTGATAAAATGGCGGCGCTTGAAAAAAAGTACTCTGATTTTTACTAAAAAATTTTCACTTTTCGCGGCCCGGAAAAATAGTAATTTTAAAGAGATCAAAATGACGGAGGCTGGAACGATAGCCTAATATGTACACTATATGTGTGCAAAACTGCAAGTCGATCGGTTCAGTAGTTTTTGAGAAAAATACACGCCCAATTTGAAAAATGTCGTTTCGAGAAAAACGCGTTTAAAGTTTTGCATGCAGTTACAATGTGGATAATGAATAATTTCAGTAACTTATTTTTAGTCGGCTATACCAGGTGAATCCCAATCCACGGGAACTTGCTTCACTAAATGTTATGTTTTTTGTACACTTTTCACAAATAACAAGCGCACTGATGGCAGAAAAAATCGAAAAGAAGTTAAGAATACTGTAGCCGTGTTCTCTTTAGCTGCGCTCTTTAACTTTTATAGCTCGGTCAATTTTACGAATTTCACCTTAATATTTTATGGATATATTTTCAAGACCCCAAACTATAAAAATATGCAAAAAAAATTTTTTTGTTTACCTGCCACACTAGAATACCCCCTTAACACTTCGAAGAATTCTAATCAAAATTCAGCTTCTGCTACAAATTTGATTTGCGCTATTTTTATCGATTACGATTAAATTTCTATAATAACGATATTTATTTTACTCTTTGGAGAAAAAGAATTTATTGAACTCAAAGTTAATGTAAATAATTGAAGAATGTTACGAATATCATGGAAAAGAGACGTCTATCGTTTGAATACAAGTCTCTTCAATATGCAAAATGATTAAGGCGACACTCTCGTTTGCAACATTTTCTCGAAATTGCCACTCGTTTGCGCCAATTATTTTTGCATTCGAATCGAATTCAATATAACGAGACTGTTGATATTTAAAAAAATATCCTACGACTAACTCGTCTCTCTCTTCAAATGGCAACAAGGTATGCCCCAATATAGTAGCGCGAGAGATCGCGCAGTCGAGTCAATTTTCCAATGACACTTTCAAGAGTTACGTGCCCGTTTCGAGCTTGTTGAGAATGAGACGTTGAGCAAGCGCGGATGATGGCGCGGGTACCGAGGAGAGGGTGAAAGGTCGAATCGCCCCGGGGAACCGATAACTACACCCCTCGGTAGCGAATCTTTCCCTTGGGAGAGATTCTCGCAGGAGGAGCGGAGTCATAAGGACCGGCAAGATCGGGACAAAAGGAGGAGAGGATGAGGGAGCGAAGGGAAGAAAGACGGGGAGATCGAAGAAGAGGGAAGCGACCGAGAAAGGAAAAGAAAGAAAGAGGGGAAAAGGAGGTCAGGTACAAATAAAGAATTGGTACTCTCGCCGAACGGATTGGATTCGCCTGGGCTCGAGTCACATCCGATTGTGATAGCGGGCTGAAAGCGAATCGAAAGGGAGCTTGAAAGTGGCGGCGGTAGTCGACAGTGGTGATGGTGGTGGTGGTGGCGGTGGTGGCGGCGGCGGTAGCGGCGGAGATCGGAGCTTTCGAGACGTGCCGATTGAATTAAGCAGCCACACCTGTCGACTCCAGATATTTTCATTGGCGGCATGCTAATTGCCAATTAAGCTATACCGATTCAGCCGATCTCGCCCGAACATCCACTTTACATTTACGTCTCTCTCTCTCTCTCTCTCTTTCTCTCTCTCCCCTCCTCTATGTCTCTCTTTCTCTTCCGTGGAAGCTCGCCGTCGCGCCGGGACTACCGGCAGGATAATGTCTACTCACTACGTTTAACTAAACGAATGGCGTTAAGGTGCGAGTTAGCGGAGAACAAGTGAGCGCTTTGGATTTACACAAGAACCATCGATCACGCGCGTTAAATTATGACGATGCTGTGATAAATATTTAAGTACATTTATAGCATGCACACAATGGTTTTGTACATGGCGTCTGCTAAATATTATTCATAATTTTTTATTAATTTATTTTTTTGGTTTTGTATGATTTTTATATTTGAATATGATTATTTAAAAAAATTAATACTTGCATCCCGATTCTCTCTTTTTTTTCGAAAGTAGATGTTGAGAAATATTAAAATAAATTTAAAGTGTACGTACACGTAGAGTTTTACATATTGCATCCGCTAGAAACTCTTCGTTCGCGATACCGTATAATTTCTATTTATATTTAAATGTGATTATTTGAAAAAATTAGAATTCTTATTTTGATTCTTTTTTTTCCTCAAAAGGGAGATGTCGATGAATATTAAAAATTAACATCTACTTTTTCAAGAGAAAGAAAGGATTGGGATGCAAATTTTAATGTTTATCCTAACCATATTTAAATACAAAAATTACATCAAATAAATCTAAAGCATACACAGCATTTTGTATTACGTTCCGGATGTGATTATCATATATAAATATAATTATGATAGAAATTAGAATTTGCATCGTAATTCTTTCTTTCTCTTCAAGAAGTGGATGTTTATCTTTAAGAGAGAGTGGCACGTACTTAAAACTTCCTCTAGCACTGCAGCCGAGTTACATAATACCCGTCAAAATGTTACGATGCTGAAAGCTCTTTCCGGTAGGACGTGGTCGCTGCTAGAGCGGACTTGCAGTGCGAAAATCCGCGTCTGGGCCGCCGGGAATATTCGACATTACCCGATAATGTACGTATCGTCAAGAGCGCATTACTGCTTGACTTTCTGGAGTATCTGCTAAGCTATCCGCACAGCACAGGGGTAAGAAACCCGGCTCCGTGGGGAATCGCCATTTATTAATCTCGACGTAATGAATGAAATGCCAGAATCGATGGGAAAGGTGTGTCATATGTAATCGTGAAAATTAAGTTATTTCCGTAAATTGCCATTCTGTTGTCGGGTCATATATTGACTATCAATATATGTTGATTAACGATTATTAATCATATATTGATTGATAATCGAAATGAAACTCTCTCTGGTCCATATAATATTAAATTAAGTTGCTACACTTTATATATACGTGCGATATTAAAATGAACATGATTAAATTTTAAAATCCATAAGATTGTACGATGTTATATTTGCAACATCAGTTTTATTGGCATAGCTTTAAAATTTGAAACGTACAGAATGTAGGTCATTCCATTCATCTTATCTCGACTCGTCAATGTTAAAATATAAAAATACCCAACGTTTTAGAGATGTAAAGATGAACTTGATATTTTGAAAATAGGATGTCAAAGAGCCGAGCCTTCTTAAATTAGAACAAGTTTTATGAATCAGATTGAATAAATATCGGAAATATTGATTGAAGTTATTGAAACAGCGATTGAATTAAATGTTGCAACACATATATCTTCGTACATGATACTTTTTATTATTCATGATTTTTATTTTATAACCATTTAATTTTTACTACTGGGGCTTTCCCGCTTTTATCTCCCGTCCAAGAATATTTTATAGAAATGCAAATAATAATTGTTTGAGCTTCTTGATGCGGTTTCTCCGCAAGCAGTTTGTGCCCCAAAGTTCGTCATGCTCGTGTTCATACTCAAATGGAAATACCTCGGTCACGTCGAACGTTCCGAAACTTTACTAGCCAATGCCGGGGTGGCTGGAATCGTGATAGTTAGGTACGCAGGGCCCTGAGGGGCCCGCATTATCGATAATCTGGAATCAGGAGCTGTAACTTCCGCGCGCATTGGCCCGCACGTGTACACGCCAACGCCGCGCACTTTGGAGTCGGCGTTGTCTCCGCCGCCGTGACACGCGGCCCTAATTAATTTCACGTAGTTCATTAACAACCTCCGGCCGCAATGCTTAACGACGTTTTGGCGTCTCCGCGTATCGGGAGAGCGTATTCCCAAGGCGAGCGAAAACTCGGTTATACTCGCTGATCAGCGGCGCAAATGATTATCGCTTATGTGTCTTCGAATTTCAGCTTTGACGTTATAACAATAGCGATAATGTAAAAAGTGCATTTGGAAATTGATTAGACTAGTATTGTATTTAATATTACAACATGATTAACACTATATTATCAATATACTTTTTTATTAAAAAATTGAGAAAAGCCTTTTTTCACATTCAGTGAAACTTTGCATGTGCTGTATTGAAAAGGTAATGAAATGATAACAGTATTACAGTAAAAAAAACTATTTTAAAAATCTTGTATTTGTCCAAAAAAATCGATATGCTAACTCTCAAAATAATCTAGAATTATTTTCTCAAGACGTGTCGATTTCTTTTTATCAAACAGTATTATAACTATTTTTTCATATAAAAATATATATCACACATTTCTCACGCAAGTTTTTTCGGTACATAGAAAATAAGCGAAACTCCGAATCTGAATCCTGTTTAGAAAAGATTCCCGCCGCGTCGGTAGGACTTGGACTTTTTTCGAGCGTCCGAAAGCCGGCAAGGACGAAGTTCCGACAGATGTTGCCATGGTTGCTTACGGTCCGCCTGCGGAACCTAATATAACCGAAATTAACCATGGCGAGCGGCGTCGAATCAGCTCTTCCTCATCGTTTTTTTTCCCCTCGTTCTGCTTTTGCTCGCCACCTTGCGCCACGGAATTGCACCGTACGAGAGCATTCGGAAAGCCTGGCGACGCACACCGCAGAATTATTATTTTTTTAAATTACATCTGTCCATAAGATTTCGTCGTTTGACACATACATCGTATTTATTTTTAATTTATCAGCGCGAATAATTGATCGATTTATAGACGCGATTTTCCCGCGACTCATTAAACACGTGTGACGAATAAAAAGAGCAGGTGTATAATAGATAAAAAAAAAATAACTTTTCGATTTTATGTACGTTTACAGGAGGAGAGATCGGAGAATCGAACCGTCAGCACGGTGGAGTTCGAGCCGGGCGTGGAGGATCATGGGAAATCTATCACCTGCCGAGCGGAGAATCCAAACGTGACCGGACTCTTCGTCGAGAAGGCGTGGAAGATCGACGTCGTGTGTGAGTACACATTACATTTTTCCTTAACGTGCCAATTTCTCGCGGACCGTAAACTCGCTCACGATCGACAGATCGCGAAACTGATCGCGGTAAATCGAATACGACAACATGACGAATGGTGCATTACGATATTTATCGATTTCGTCTGTCATTCTCTCTCTCACTCTCTCTCTCACTCTCTCTCTTTCTCTTTCTCTTTCCGCTTTTCCCTTTTCCGACTCTATTCGTTCTCGTTGATTTCACGCGCGTGTCGTAAAAAAAGATCAGAAATCGCCGGAACAGCCGCCGTTTTCGATCTCATTTTCATTCGGGTTCCGAATCGAGTTGATTTTACGAGCCTCTTCATTCCGCGCGCAACCAGGCGTATCCTCTCCCTGCATTCACGCATAATTTTTTTTTTGGTTATCCCACACGTTTCTTCCCCTTTTTACGACGTCAATAAAAAGATCGCGTGATTTCCCATAAATTACTGCCGAAATTCGACCTATATCCTCGCTGGAACTCTTGATCCCCAGTTGTCAAAAGGGGAAAACAAATGCGCGAAGAGAGGCACGATAGTTGGGTAAGAGCGAACAAGATTATTAACGAATTCGTATTTAGCCAATCTAATTATGATTATGTTTGTTATTTTTGCATTCCATTTGATGGCTAAAAATTTCTTTAGTTTGATATGAATTTATATATGAAATTTAAAATTGCTAAATATCTCTCTTGAGTCTGATTATTATTACGTTCAAAATAGAGGAATTTATTTCAGCATTGAATGATGGCGACCTCGAACCGTATGCTTTTTTGCATTTATCGCTATCGGCATAACCGCGACGAGCAATGTTTATACACGTATGTACACGTTGAGCGGGAGACATCGTGCGCGCATAACGCGCCCGGTTTACCGAGCGTCTGCGAAATTTATCACGCAACTACGCTCATCCGCCCTCGTAAACTTTACGTTCGACTTGTCGGGAGTTATGGCACGCTTCTCGACGCATATTAAAACGAGAGGAGACAACAGCCGTCGGGGAGAGGCTGAAAGAGAGATATATCCCACAGCCATTCGGCGCTGTCCCCGTCCGAATGAGCCCGCGGTCGGAGATATCATTTTGCGAATCTTCTACACGAACATTCATACATTTTATATATAGTTTGACAGCGCTGGAAAATGATCGCGCCGGATGGCACGAGTTATATCTAGCGCTGCTATCTCGCGCATCTGCGAGATTATTAAGCGATGCTCTCGCTAAGTCTTCGCCGTCTCTTTCGTAATAATAACGCTCGGACAACGATTATAATTTCCGTACGAATCGTAAAAACTATATTTGCCGATGCGCCGCAGAAAACAATAACGACTTTTATTGTCGCACGATCGCAGTATCATGCGAGCGTAAAGTAGATTTTATGCGCCTAGATGGGTGTTCTAAGTCGCAGACAAACCGCCCCGCTTGTGCTCGCGATAAAATGCTTTAAGCGTTCAAGACGCCGGTCGTTGGCGACTCGTAATCTCGAGACTTTTTCGCTGCTGCAGCAAGCATCACCCGTGTCGACGTGTTTAATCGACACCAGCGGAATCTCTTATCAGTTAAGTAGTAGCATTCTAACGATTGTGAATAGCAAAGTGCGATATTCGATTCATGACGTAAAAAATAAATAGAAGAAATGATGATGAATTTAGTACAGCAGTAAAAGTATAATTTCGTAAGCTGAAGATAAACTTGAATTTAATTATCTTCTTTAATAAGTTTAATTATCTGAATCGCTAATTTAAATTTAATTTTCTCAGATTTGCGATTACTCTTTTTAAATTAAAAAAATGGGTCAACAGCACAGACACGGTAGATAAATATTTTTTTAACAGCTGTAAAATTACGATATGAATTTATATCCATGAATATTGGCACGAAAGTAAGCTTTGATAAAATAAAAGCCGTTCTTACGACGCGCGAAGCGTCGTATATCACCGTATGTTCATTTTAATTGTATAATACGTATAAATAACGGGAAAAAGTGCGACGTGAGCGGAGGATCCGCGCGTGCACCCGCTCAGATATTTTTTCAATTTTGCAGCGGAGCGCGCGCGCGCGCGCGCGCGGACGTTACTTCGGCAGCGATAAATTTCTCGATTCCGTACGGTTTATCGTTCGTTCTCATCTGTCCGGTTGCGTCCGTTGCACCTGCACATCTGGCAAAAATATAGCGGCGATGGGAAAACGGGGAAATAACGTAAGGAGCGCGGGCGCGAAACTCGCGGAGCTAGAAAAACTGCAGAATACGGGAAATGACGGTCGCGTCACGTATTCGATTACGGTGACCGTTCCGCCGTGCCTCTCGAAATTACGCCACTTCGAAAGACGGTCCGGCCTAGCATCAGACGACCTCGTGCTCGCCGTCACAGTCGTCTTCGACGGCAGTTGACTACCGATCCTCGGAACGACGAATGAGAAAATTGAGTTTTCTCTTTCGCAACTTTTTTTTATTATTCCAACAAACTTTGCTGTAATTTACAAGAAGTCGGAGTGGACCGCTGCTGCGGGATTAATTTCGGAGGGGCAAGGAAGAATCCACGTAATCGAGTTAATAAATATTATCACGGGAAAGTGTGTGATCCCGAGTAAGAAAGAAGTCGACTTGGGGAAACGAGGCGTAATTTATCGTGATGAGATATAAGGTTCCTCGAGGAGATAATGCGGAAGTAAACTGTGGAAAGGGCCGGGAGAAAGATCGGAGCGGACCAGTGTGATTAAACTAATGTACACAGTGAATGCCAGACACGAGGAGCAAATAAAAGGCTCGATTGTTGAGAACTATCCATAGCTGAGCTACGGGACCATTGCGGGGACATTGCGAGATATTATTGAGAGTTCCACGGGCGGGAAAAATACCAGAGCTAATGGAGACTGAAGATTATGCTATGGATGTAACTACACCGGAAATCGTGATATTGCGTTTTGGATTCGATAATGAAAACGGCGATTTACAGGGCTTTTATCGTCGTCGTTACAATATCGCGTATATTTTGCGACGAAATAATCTGAATGAACAAAGTTATATGTTTAATATACTATATCAAAAAGTACTCTTACACTTTTAATAAATTGTTTTAATACTAAAAGAGAGAGAGAGAAAGAGAGGCTGATGTACGTAATTTCAGGATTTCCTTCGCTAATATATAATATAAAAATTCAATATTTTGTGCTTGCAGATCCGCCGATAGTATCATTAAACCTCGGATCGACCTTAAGCCCAGAGGACATTAAAGAAGGGGATGACGTGTACTTCGAGTGCCACATTAGAGCCAATCCTCCCTGGTCCAAGCTCGTTTGGATACACGACGTGAGTATAATCTTAAATATATACTGATCTGCTGCTTTTTTACGATGTGTATAATTCCAAAAATGTATATGACATTAATTTACACGACGGATATCCGCGTGTAAAGAGATTTTCGCGGAGTTTCGTTACGTCGATACGCGTAACACTCTTCGCCTCCTGTAATACTTCGTATATCGAGCAGAACTTTAAATCCTTTATTTGCATAATATATGAGTTACTGTGCGACGATATCGACGCGTGAAGAGAAGCGCCGACGCGACGTGTCTACCTATTCTTGTTATGGAAATCTCAGCCGTGAATTTTGTCGCCTATCTGCATACTCAAACTCGCCAAATATAACAAATTCACATGTTTTCATGAATAACCAACGCCTTGATTTTGCAATCATCTTATAAATAATTTTTATACTTTTTAAATATGATTTCCTCAACGCAACCGTAATTTCTCGTTGCAATTCCTTTCAATTTGAATTTCAATCTTTGAATAATGTCACTTCTGAAGCGGAGATGCGTGATATTATTGCCCATATCGAGACGGATTGAATGCTTTACATGATGCATTTCATATCCGTTGTATCGTCGTATCGTCTCGAGGAAATAAAAAAAACGAGCGAGAGCGTGCGACAGGCATAAAACGGATATCAAAGCGTAACTAATGTTAGTCAGTCACGGCTCATGCGAGATAGTTGTCTCGGGAGACCGCCTGCCTGCTTATTCTGAGGCAGCGCTACTTGAATTTCGAAACGCCGCCACCGCCGCTGCCGCACATTGTGTATACATCCCTAGCGCGCTGCAATTGCAGCGGAGTCGGAAGTTAAAGGAACGCTCCCAAGGCGTATTCGAGACTATCAGCGACAAACTTTGGCCTGTGTATCGGCGGCAGCCACGGACGTGCACTTCCTGAATTCTAATCGTCCCGATCACGCCGGCTGCGGGCTCGAAATCGCGCGTACGCGCGTGGCATGATATGCGATTACGAATAACCGTGCATTAATTTCCGACGTTGCGGTCCCCTCGAGAAGTCTCCCCGACGACACAAGTGTGACAGATATTAGTGAAATATGTAGTTTTGTAAGGTCTGAAAACGCAAAATTCGACGGCTTTGTAATATCGTGCGATTACGAATGGATGCCTGCGCATGAATGCCCGACGTCAGCGTTTCTTGATAACTTCTGCAACTTTCTCAACAGTGTAGGGACAGTCCGGCGTGAACACCTTTCTATATTTCACTTAATTATATAACTTTGTGAAACTTATTATTTTGTCGCATGGTGACAAGAAAATATGAAATTTTGAACGCATCTGAATACAGTTCAATTCGCAGACGTAGTTACGGAATAATTACGATTAATCAGGCATTAATTTCTGACATCGAGATTTCTCGATAATATCTGCAGCTTTTTCGTGCAACGAATGTTCCATTCCTCGCGCATTATTTTCTTCAACGATAGTTACTTCGACGATTTGATGACACATTATTTTTTAGATATTTGTCTTGAATTTTCTTCTAAGATACAATTTTTATAACAGCTCTGATCTCCGCATCTCGCATCTTATCGCCGCAACATGTATTGAAACAGTAAATTTGCGAGCCCGCAATGTTCTTTTGTTTTAATCTTAAATAGAAGATCGGCTTCATTTCCGAGGGATGCAAGTCCCGTAGATTTTAATATATTAATCCAACGGCTATAACACCTGGCAGAAGATTGCGGTACGTATATGCCATAATTATATTACCATCGGCTAGCCGGGAATCCCGTAGGGGGCGCGCGGCGGCGGTGCATTAGCTTTCCTCCGGTCTTTTCCGGGATCAGCCCGGCCTCATATCCCTTCCATGTTCCGTCGCTCACTTTAACCTGGCTCATCCCCGCTTCCGCTGCTCCCCTTCTCTTCTCCCCCTCTCCACCCCGCCCCCACTCGTCTTTTCGTTTCGTCGCAGGGCGACCTTTCACCGGATATACGCTGCGAAGGGCTGCAGGAAACGGGCTAACGGTGGGCGAGCGGCGGCAGCTGCTACCGCGTAAGAGATTTCCCTCGAAATTGCATCTTAAAAATATGATCCGACTTCATTCCGCAGAGAGAACACCCGACTATCGCGCAGTGTCATTCTCCCCCTCCCCCCGCCGACCCACCACTTCCACATCCGCGATTTCTTCCCCTCGCCTGCGGATTGCCGTCTAGTCGCACCGCTTACGGGCAAAGCGATCCGCTAAAACTCCTCCTAGTCTTTGTACGTGCCTTTAAACGACGGATGGATTACCCGACCGAATTCGCGCCATTACCGTAAAACTGGATCTTAGAACTGTATTCGCGACCAACTGCACTTGGACTTTTTCCGACGATTATCGGAGTTCCGTGAGTTGAAAGTCGAAGTTGGATGTTAATTAGAAATGGACATTGCGGGCGATTCGTCGGTGTAATACGCTTGTGACTGAATAAAAATATATTTTTTGTTCCAAACAATAATCTTTCAAGCTGCGAGAACTAGAGTTTGTTTTTCAAATTTAAAATTGATTATGTATAATTGAAAAACGTATCACATGGAGAAAAAGAGAGAGAGAGAGAGAGAGAAAGGATATTGTCGACTGCGGTATCGCTTTATTTCCATTAAGTATTGCCGCGTCGGTTTTCGCGATTCTCGAAAGACGCGATCGCCTTTAAAAGTATGTCGCGGGTCGGCGGATTTTCACGTTTGCACTTGGTACACCAGAAACGTTTCATTCGCCGGCGCGGGGTCCCTTTCACTCATCCGGAAAGGTTTGCCTAGGAATTACAAGGGCCGTTGGCACGTTCTATCTGCCAATCAATCCCGAGGTAGCAATCGGACTCGGGCTCCGGCACCGGCGGGTCTTAGAAAAGCGTTTCGGGCTGCCCTAACAGCAGTAACCTTTTGAGTGGCAATCGTAAAGACGGGGAAAGAATCATGAACGGTCGGCGGGCGAGGGATGCGTGCAGGGGGAGAAGGAGGAAACGATGCGCGAGCAAGAGGGATTGAGAGGCACCTGAAAGCGAGAAAGGAACAGAAATAACAGGGGGAGCGGCAAAAGGAATAAGAGGAAAAGGAGGAAGAAATCGAGAAGGCGAAAAAAGAAATATGGGGTGGCCGACATAATGGAGTGCAGTGATTAAGTCGGTTCTATCATTCACGGGGACAATAGAGAAGTTCTGTACCTACCTGCAGCAGCAGCAGCAGCATCGACGGGAGCCAATCGGCCCCGGCTGGTTTAGACGCGGAGAGAGCCTGAAAGGATTCCTTCAACTCCTCATCTTTTCTCGCAAAGTGGATTGACCGTGCGGACTGCCGGAAGGATTCCATTAATACCGTTGTCCTCGCGGGCACGCAGGAAGATCGAAAATTTATCTCGGCCGCCCCCGCCGCGCGCGCGCCTATTGCACCTTCACTTCCGTCTAAATGATAGTTGGACGCTTCGCGTTCTATACAATCTGTAAGATTTGTACAATCCTGAATTGGCAGGAAGTGAATACAGAGCGTTCTTCCTCTTGAAATTTTTATTAGGCCAAAACGCGCGGAGGGGCATAATAGCATTTTCGATTTATGAATGACGGTGAAAATGAAGGATTTTTGCACTTGGAATACGAACGAATGGGTTTCGTTGGCGCGAAAACGGCGATATCGATCAAACTTGAAATTCCGCCGAGTCGCCTCGCCCGCTATTTGATATACACATATCTGCGTCGTGGCTTTTGTACATCGATTGGATTGCACGAGCGCGCCAAGGATAACGGCTTTCTCACTGCGAATCGACCGAATGCATTTCCCTCTCACGCGAGATTCAACCCGACACGTTCGGATCTTAATGCGGCGCGGGGTGCGAAAGCGCGCAGGAGTCGAAAGGTATGAATGTTCGTACATGTGTATGCGTTGCGTGTGAATGTGTGTGTGTGTGTGTGTATGCGGGTTGGCGGTTCCCGAGGAAGTGGGTGCCGGCGTCGAATTCGGCGGGCCGTACATCAATCAATTTCACTGCCATCGCGATCAGGGCGTGTCGGAATTCCCGCTAAGGGCGACTTCTCGGAACACGGAGAGCGAGAGAGAAAAAGGGAAAGAGAGAGAGAACGAGAGAGAGAGAGCGGATTCGTTCTGTACGATTTCGATCTCGCAATTTTTCGTTAAGAGATAAGACGAGCCGGCAAAGAATCGAGGAGCGATAACCGATCGCGTAGTCACCTACAGTCTTCGCCTGGCAGTTTTAAAAGCAGCTTTGATAGTCGGCAACTTTCGAACAGCTGTTCGGAAACTACTTCTTCGCCCTCGTATCTCGACGTATTCCGCTGAACACATCGGCCATAATCCCGAACGCGACCGATCCCGGGCCGCGCTCGATACAATCATCGCTCGTAGTTGCCAAACTTCACTTTAAAACGCTCGAAAATATTTACGCGGAAATCTTACTCGCACAAACACGTTTGTGTGTTTCCAGAATGAGATATGTGTTTTGCGCTGGACGTTTGCACAAACATTCAGATACTATTACGAAGCACGAAACGACTATTACAGGAATTTATTTATTTAGCGCGAGGATATTTTTTACAACGTAAAAAAAACAAATAGCTATCAAAGCGCAAATTTCCAAGGAAAATGTAAGAATATTGGCGTAGCGAAGGAACTTAAATTTGACTAAAATATTCTATTTGATTGCGTATAAAAATTCTGCATCTATTTTTCTTTAAATATTATTTTTAGTTCAAGTGTGTATATCTTAAATGTATATCTTAAATGTATATCTTAAATTTGAATTTCAAGGAGCTCAGTGGAAACGTTCTCTGCTCGCGAAAGCTCTTAATTTTAAATTTTATATTTTGATGGCGGTTTAGAGAAAGAGAGAAAGAGAGAGAGGACTGCACTCCGATAAAAACCCATAACCATCTCGCGCGGCAAATATTTCGCGAAAGCCAGTCGGAAACAGTACGATCCGCGCGCAACGCCGTAATTGATCGACTCTACGCCACTCGTTTCCACCGTAATAAAATCGACAACAC